TCTTACGGAGAGATCAATCAGATCAAGTAATGGAGTCCTTAACATCCTTTTTGATAGTTTTTCTTTTCGAATTCTTAACCCGTGTCTTTTGTTACAAATTCCAATCATTAAAATGCCCTAAACCCGGTTCAGCTCCATGATGGTGCTGAAACAGTGGTTTGGAAACCTGGTACACAATCGCTGAAGTGCCACCGAGGAGTTCAAGCAAAGTGGGCGCGGCCACCCACACAACAACTGCTCACCGCAATGATCCAATCAACAATACACGACAAAAATAAGTGCGAACGAAACAGAAGCCGGTACTTGCGCATCGCAAAGCGACTGTGAGAATAAAATTATTGATTTTGTATAATTAAACTGTTCAGTTTGCTAAACTAGGAAGAAACTAACTGCAAGCCTTTTCAGGAGATCGTCGTGGATGTGCAGTAAATTAGCCGTCTCGCTAGCGGACTCTCCAATCTCCAACAGTCCGGGTGTCATCTCGTCGATTCGCACCTCCACGTATCCCATGGACTGCAATACAGAAAATACATAGGGTTAAGAATCGGTTTGTGGGTAGATTGATAAAAAGAAAGCTAGAATGCGAGCACGAAGTGCAATAGAGAAGCACGATGTAGCCTTTCGGGCTATGGTTGGTTTGACTCTTTTCCAGGCAAGCTTCTCTTCACAGAACAATTCACTTTAATATTAAGTTGTTAACTCACGTTCCAAAAAAGCTGGTCAAATAAAATGTGCTGTAAAAATCAATTTCGAGGCAGTAAAAACTCCTTCTTGAACCTGTATATTTTCGAGCGCTGGTAAGCTAGTGCACCTGCGTCTGGCAGTTAGAGGATTTTCTCCCACTCTTCGAATCGGGAGAAAAGCTTGGAAACTTCGATAGGGCACCGGCTACAAGCACAATTGACGTTCAGTGGTAAAGTGATGAGCATTTAGTGATAAAAAGTACGTTGCTGTGAACGATAGCACTACTTGAAGGATTTTATGGAAAGAAGAACAAACCTGTCAAATTTTTTATAGCGAGATTGGAACCTAAATATTTCCAAAGGGGTCTGCATGAATCTGAAACCAGTCATCTGAAGCAAGACGATGAACCAAAGGAAGATATTCTTAGATTTAGGATAAAAAGCATTCAACAAAATTCATTCCTCATATATTGGTCTCGGTTGGAAGTGGTGTAGTGCCAAGTGGCGCGCTTCCACGCGAGCGGTCCGGGGATCAAATCCTGGGTCGTGAGTCGCCCGGGCCAACCAAGCCTTCCATCCCTCCGGGGTCGGTTAATTGGTACCAGACTTGTCTGGGAGGATAAAAACACTGACTTGTACATCGGCTGGCCCCCGCAAGTCATTGTATAGGCCACATCGCATTCAAACGCCACTACGAATGTACAAATGGAAGTAGAATGCGTGCCGCATCCCAAAAAGGGATTGATCAACGGCAAATGCTTTATCCTTTATCCTTTTATATTGTCCCAATAAGAAATAACGAAAACTTATGTCTATAAAGTAGCTTCTCAACATGCAGATCTATCAAGTGACCCGGCAACACTTCGATTACGGAACTCGAAAACCATAAAGACTGCTGGTCAAGTCCGAGCATGGAAAAGTGCAGATTATTGAGTTATTCCCTCATAGGTCCATGCTCACAGCGCAGAATCATACAATACTCGGATGGAACCAGGTTCTGCGAATAGTCAACATGGAGTAGCAAAAACCGTCCGACCTCGGAAAATTTCTGAAGAAACAGCCTTTGCAATTTGACTACACAGAGCTTTTTTGAAATCCCATCAACAAACGCTGAAAACAGGTCAGTATTTCGGTCTCTTTATTGATAACTTAAATGCGGCAACGGTGAATAGGCGATGGTTGGCCAGGGCTAAATTGGGACCACAGGTAGAATAGCTCAGCCTACTGCGAGGCGAGGAATGTCACTGTATTCCGAACCTAATACGCGGCGCTTAGCCCTGCTTCCAAAATTCGTTGTTATACACCAAAAGTAAGCGTCCGGGTAGCCAGATCAACAAAGATGATCGGCATTTTGCTAACTCTTGCACCCTAGCTAGCAAGATGATTACATGGGTTTCGCTCCGCAAGCATTGCGCAGTCCTCGTTCCGGTCAGATCCGTACACGCTCTAACGCGCAGTGAATTGTTTGAAGGAGACTTCCTTCGAATATTCGGACTGATACTAGACACATCTTTTGAGCGGGATAAAACCTATATTTTGAGGCACATATATGGGAGCTCACGTCTGTCCGAGCTACTGCCTCGCACAGCTCTTGATAGCCGATTTCTTGCGGCGATGACTGGTTCTGGAAACCTTCTAGGATACCCTAGCATGGGATTAGTCCTACTGAGCTTCTGAGAAAATCTGGAAAGAAGTGTCCCTCAGGTTTATTCCAGTAAGAGGGAACATTTCGGTGCAATAGATTCTTCCAATTACAGTAACCCCAATTTCGCATGGGAAGTGCCTTCTGAGGTGAGCAAAGAAACTAGCTTGTGTTAAAAGAGAACTAAGCAAGTGCAGCTTTTTGTGGAAATCGCCAACCTAACGATGGTATTTTTAAAGGTTCCAAATTCCTTGTTTACTTACAACCAGCATGCGCCCACTCATTATTGTTCTGGATACGCATTTACTTGTAGAGTCATTCTCGAGTTTATGTGTGAGACAAGTCCCAGCTACAGTACTCTCTAAGCTTACTTTGAGCAGCGCTACCACCATCGACGCACGATCTCCGGCTCGAACAGCTATGGTTGATAGTGTGGTCGTCGACACGTCCTGCCCGTTCTGTGTGGGCCCGTGACCGTTCTGTACAGGACCACCATTCTCTCTCGTCTCTACCATCCTTATCTGAATTCAGCTGTATAAACATCGATAGATGACGACGTATCGAAGGAAAACAAATCGCATTCCAAACAAAATGTGAAAACGCCAGCGCTGTGGCAATTTCAAGCGTTTGAATTTCACGTCCAAGGTGGTGATGATTACCTGATGCTTTCGTTCAACTGGTACTGGAGGGCTCGCCGCCTGTGCATCCTCCATAATGGATTACACTCGTATGCGAGGCGATCTGCACCCTCGACGCTGAAATCGATTGAGCTCTAGCATTTACAATCGATGAGGAAGATGACAGACGAATTGATCAGTTGGCAGAGAGATCGATTATGAATTGAAATCAGGTGCTTATCTGAAGGTTTCCCTATAAAGGACAAGGTCACACACACACAGGTGCAATGTTTTGGGGAAAGAGAAGAAACGTGGGTCACTTGAGATAACCCTTTTTAGTATGACTCTAATCGAGAGGCTAAATGTCTGAGCGTCACACTCAACGAAAAACCCGTGGGAGCGCTTCCCAGGTTTATGGGGTGAGCTCCCTTGGGGTAGGTACGTCTGCGGGCAAAGCCAGGGCAAGTAAGCACATGCGGGGATAGATCCAGCGATAAGAGTTTGCCCCACTAGATAGCTCCTCTAGCTGGGCTTCTGATAACTCTCCGTTGCTGAGCTGGACCTAATCCTGTGCTCGGAATAATTATCGAACTTATTCCCCTTGTGAACTCCTCTATGCATAGCTAGTACTGATCAGGGAAATATTGCGTAAAGGAAATGGCTGGAACTACCCCAGGGAGCGCTTAGCAAATCGTCGCTGACCTAGTCTACTAAAACGCTCATCACTCATACCCCCAACCTGAATTTAGCGGAGTGGGGGGAGGGGTTAGAGAACATTCTGTTTAGCCTTATACCCAAAACTGGCCCGCCACTGTTTTCTCTACTTCCCATTATACTGTAAAAATCCACCAGGTTCCACCGCCTTCTGCCTCAGCGCTGCGTTTCCCTAGAACCTGCTTCCCTTCTTCCTCTAGCCTTAATCACCTCATACTGAATCAGTTCGTCTTGTAATGGACATTTAATTTCTTCAACCCCTCTCTCCCCCCCCCCCCCCCCTCGTCCACTGTTTCTCTCTGATTCCCAACACAGCCCTCAAAAAGCTCAAAGTAGACCCCCTCCTGTCCCATCCCTCCACTACAACTCCCTTTAGAGGAAACCCCGCCTCTAATTGGCCCTGGTATTCACCCTGACTCACCTCGTCTTTAGGGATAGCTTTGGCGCTTTCCTAGAAGAACACTATTGGCAGAAGGGCCAGCGCTGAAACTAATTCACCATTCTGTTTGATTTCCATAAGCGAATCTCGTTATGACATGAGTCATCCAATGGCTAGCATTGCTGAGCGCTTCTGAACGATTACGTTCCGGAAGTAGCGTTTTCAGTGAGTCGTTTTACCTCTACACTTCATAAATCTGTCGGAAAAAGGCGTTTCGGAGAGTTAACTGAGACTGAGGTCGTTGTGTGAAGCGATAGGAGGCTGCCGCCAAGCAAATGAAAAATATAACGGTGTGGACGTGGCTGAATGTTCAGCTGATTCAGACGACAACGACGACGATTTGGCAGACAGTGAATAAATGATAGCGAAATGAAGAATTCAACGAAAGCAACACATTAACATCGCCAAGCATTTCACAAAATATTCAGCACAGCGTAACCAAAATATAACAGACATGACACGTTTGGAAACGTGCATACGAAAATTCAGATTTTTTTCATCTCACTTTCTTTCCCTTAGGGGGGTTACCCTCTTCACCAGAGAGGATTTGGGGAGCTTTTTTTAGAAAAAAAAAACGCCACGGCTGGAGCCTTTCGCGCCAAATTCCATTCAGTCAGAGGTTTTTGTGAAGTTTCTTTTAACCGTGCTTTATAACGAGTCCAGCCCCCTTAAGTCCGAAAGGAAAAGTCATCAGAAAGAGGTAAAAATATGTAAAAGGACTAAAACATGAGGTATATACGTATGATGTGTGCTTGAAAATGTGCGGTGGCGGTGAACGCGATGCAGCGAGCAATAGAAAGAGGCGGCCCACACGATGGTGACTGCGGAAGCAGTGTAAAACACATCCTTGAGGGCAGAGCAGCATACACGACTGGAATAAGCGTTCTGAAATATAATAGTTTCGTAACCAATAGGCGATCATAATCAGTACATCGTTAACCCTGGACCGCTTTTTGCACCCTGTGCAGCGCGCCACCACACAAAAGGGATCATTATCCTCTATTTACCATTTTTCTGAGTAATAAAATCGTTGGTAAGCTTTTTTCGAGCACAGAAATTATCATATATTTGAATGCTGATAAAATTGCTGTCAAGTTGTAGGTCACTGATTAACGGATGGCAAAAACTTGCAGTGGTACACATAAAGGCGACCTGCATTAGGTAGAGGGTAAACCCCTAGATCAAAATGGTGTTACCCGGAAATAAAAGCAGTGGTGCGAATCGGATCGGTGGTAAAAAGAAAACAAAGATTCTGTCGAAAGCGCTAAAATTTAATTTTTACTCATTTTTGTAATTCTGTTGTGCTGAGGCAAGGAGACAGCGAGCGCGGGAAGAGAGGATAT